CTTCCATGAAGAATCTCCCATTTTCATCTAAATTTAAATTTTTAGGTTAAAAAAAAAATAATCCTCTGCCTCCCCAGACCCCTCCGAGGGATCCAGACCTCGCTCCTGATTGGACATCAAGGATAAGGGGCGTGGCTTAAGCGCTGAGTGGTATATAGAAAGCCGAGCGGGAAACTTGGACAGAACGTCCTGATAGAAAGCAGTTTGGGGCGGCCGGATCAACTCGTGTTTTTCGACCAGTTTGTGGACCTAGGAAACAGGGGCCCCAGTGCACAGCAGGAGTGCTGCCTACCAGAAGGAGATGGCGCAGAGGACCACAGCCTGGCTCAGTTCCTCTGCAAGCATCACCCCAAGCGCTCCGCGTACCGTCTTTCATGTGATGTGCGAGGAGCGCCCTCTGGAGCTCAAAGGCTGGAGTTGGCATCTTGGCTACATTCGCTTCCCAAACTCTCCGGACATGTCTTAGCCTCAGGCTTCTAGAATTGCTCCCCAGGCTCAGTTCCCACTTCCCAGTCACGTTCCACCACCACGATCCCTTGCATGACAGCGGGATGAGACGCAGCTCACCAATTCCTCCGAAGACAGACATCGCTGTTACATGTAGGGGACAGGTTTTGTTGTTGCTGTTGTTTTTCAAAAAGGCTTCCACCACGCCTGCCATCAATTCTTAATGTTTTATTTTTCTTAAATGTTCATGCAAACACAATAACAAAGTAAACACCCGTGTAGTATTTCACCGCTTAATGCAGTCGTTTCTTAAATTTCAGAAGTAAGCTATGCTTACCATAAAAAAATGCCTAAACATTACAGAAGTCAAAAGCAAAGCTCCAGGCTGTGGTCTCATCCTCCAGCTCATAGGGTCCCTTCTAGAGAAGGTGGTTGTGTTTGCAAATCTGCACTCACTTAAAGGCTGGGTGGGTTACAAGAGAGCACTCTATACCAGTGGTCCCCAGCACCCCCCCTCTCCACCCTCACAGACCTGTACCCACGGTGGCCAGTTAGGAACCAGGCCGCACACCAGGTGAGCAGTGGGCCAATGAGCAAAGCTTCATCTCTATTTGCAACCACTCCCCATGGCTGGCATTACAGCCTGAGCTCTGCCTCCTGTCAGATCAGCTAGGGCCTTAGATTCTCACAGGAGCACAAACTTTATTGTGAACTGTGCATTTGAGGGATCTATAGGTTGCACGCTCCTTATGAGAATCGAATGCCTGATGATCTGTCACTGTCTTCCATCACCCCCATGTAGGACCATCTAGTTGCAGGAAAACACGCTCAGGGCTCCCACTGATTCTACATTATAGTGAGTTGCATAATTATTTAATTATATATTATAATGTAATAATAATAGAAATAAAGTGCACAATAAATGTAATGAGCTTGAAACATCCCCAAACAACTCCCCACCCCCACCCCACCCACCCCACCTACCCGGTGGGCCACCACCGTCTGTGGAAAATTTGCCTTCCCCAAAACCGGTTCCTGGTGCCAAAAATGTTGGGGACTGCTGCCCCATACAGCTCCACAGCTGCTACCATCCTGGTTTACTGATGCATCTTGGGGCCTCCGGGTCAGCTCCTGCAGCCTTACCTTCTTGTTTATAGCTGCATAGACTTAGATGTTCAGAGAATAGTCCAGTCTCTGTTCCATCCAGCTTTAGAGCCTCAGCGTTTCTTCACATCAGTCACTTACTTATTAATTACTTAAAGGTTCTTGCTTCTTTTTCCTGAAACTAAAGGAGAGGTGACTGATCAAGCTGAATTTTGCAAAGGTGAGTAGTGACTCTTAACAGCTAACTCCTGGGACTGGCTGGCAGAAATCAAGGCCTCCAGCCCTAAGTTCTCTTAGAGAATGATCCATTCCTTTAAGATCAAGCTAGACATTTTTTTTTTTTTTTTTTTTGAGACAAAGAGTTTCACTCTTTTTGTCCAGGCTGGAGTGCAATGGCGTGATCTTGGTTCACTGCAACCTCAGCCTCCCAAGTTCAGGTGATTCTCCTCCCTTAGCCTCTCATGACTGGGATTACAGTCATGTGCCATTGTGCCTGGCTAATTTTGTATTTTTAGTAGAGACGGGATTTCAACCATGTTGGCTAGGTTCGTTTTGAACTCCTGACCTCAAGTGACCAACCTGCCTTGACCTCCCAAAGTGCTGGGATTACAGGCGTGAGCCACTGCGCCCAGACTATTATTTTATTAAAAGATTTTCTTAATCTTTTGCTCTCTCTCTTTGCCTTCTGGGACCCCAATAATTTGAAAATTTGGTTGCTTTATGGTATCTCATATAGCTTTTATCATTCTTTTTAAATTTTTTATCTTTTTGTCTTCCTGGGTTATTTCAAAAGATAGGGCTTCAGGTTCTGAAATTCTTTATTCTATTTGATTTAGTCGATTGCTGAAGCTTTCAAATATATTTTGTATTTCATTCAATGAAGTCTTCTTTTCCAGAATTTGTTTGGTTCTTTTTTATGTCTATCTCTTTGGTAAACTTTTCATTCATATCCTGAATTGTTTTTCTAATTTGTTTGTATTATTTTTCTGAGTTCTTCTGTATCTCACCAAGCTTCTTTAATATCGTTATTTTGAATTCTTTATCCAGGTATAATCTACGTATGATTTCTTTGGCTGTAAGCAACATCAGTAGTGTGTGTTATTTCCTCTGTGACTTAAAGTGCAGTTGTTAGTGGAGGCTGTGGTGAAGTTTTTCTGGGGACAGGGGATGCCAGGTGGGCCAGTTCTTGGGCACAGGGGTGGCAGTGGTGGGCCAAGCATGCCTGTCCTTGAGCCCTAGGGTGGTCTATGCTGGCACAGGTCTTAGCAGGTTCAGGTGGGCCAATTCCTGGGCTTCCAGGTGGCTTGCTTGGGTGCTGGCATTGGCAGCCATGGGCCAGGTAGACGCACAGTTCCTGGGGCCACTGGGCAGCAAGTGTGGCACAGGCAATGGCAATAACATTGGCAGGACAATCTAGCTTCCAGTCAGCTTGTGCTAGTGTTGGTGATGGCTGCGATGGGCTGAGCAGGCCAGTCTCCAGGCCCGTAAGTGGCACATGCAGGTAGATGCCACCTGAGGTGGTAATGGCCAGCTGGGTGTGCTCAGCCTCAGGCCCCTGGGAATATCCCAGCGTACTGGAAATGCTTGTGCATCAGTTTAAAATCACCTCTTTGCTGTGATCCAGGGAAACTAGTGAATGCCAAGTCCCTTCACTTCCTAGAGATAAGTGATTTAGGATGCAGTGGAAGCTGTAAAAGTTTGGGTGCTCACTGCATGGAAAAGCTCCTTCCTGGGAGAGTCTGTAGATTTCCCACTGGAGCAAGCAAGGGCAAAAGGCTTGGAGTGTCTGAACTCCTGTGCAGGCTCCTGAGGGTCCAGCATTTGTCTGTCCTGTGAACTCCCGCATACAAGCTGGTTAAAAGCAGGACTATCAAGCAGCAGCTGGAAGAGTGTGCTGGTAAATCCTTTTTGAGGAGAAACTGGGAACTGTGCGTTTTCACCCCTTCTCTGCACTGCTCTGGTTGGGGAAGTGTGGCGGAGGAAGGCAAACCCTGAAGTGCTTGTGTGGCTGCTTAAAACCACCTTTTTCTTCTGTGAGCTAGGGAGGCTCACATATGCCTAATCCCTTCCATTTCCAGAGGCAGGAGGTTTAGGATGCAGTCCCTTGAGTGACAGCAATAAAAGTTGGGGTGATCGATGTGTGGACAAACTTCTTTCAGGAGGAATTGACAGGCCTGGATTTACTGGTGGGCTGAGCCGGGGGTGAAGGCTTGGGAGGCACTGAACCTCTGTTCGGGCTCTTGTAAGTCTGTAGTTTATCTACCTAGTCAACTCCCTGATGCAGGCTAGTTAGGAACTTAGCCATTAACAGTTAGAGGGCTATGTGTGGTTCACCCCTTCTCTCCTCGGGGAGAAGCTGGGAACTAGGAATTCCTTCCTGATTGGATGCTCAGTGCTCAGGGTGGATTTGGTTCCTGAGTGCTTCAGCTTTTCCTGCTGTTTTGTTTGTTTGTTTATTGTTGTGGTTGTTTGACAAAGTCTCACTCTGTCACCCAGGCTGGACTGGCATGATCTCGGCTCACTGCAACCTCTCCCTCCCTGGTTCAAGTGATTCTCCTGCCTCAGCTTCCCGAGTAGCTGGGATTACAGGCATGTGCCACGATGCCCAACTAATTTTTGTATTTTTAGTAGAGATGGGGTTTCACCATGTTGGTCAGGCTGGTCTCCAGCTCCTGATCTCGTGATTTGCTTGCCTCAGCCTCCCAAAGTGTGAGCCACTGCTCCCTGTTTGATAAGACGTTTTCTCAGTTGCCTGGTGTATAGAAGTCTCGACTCGTTTCTGATTTTCTTCCAGAGAGAACTAATCCAGGTGTAGATGTTTATTCAGGCCATCAGAGTCAGGAACCTCCCATGTCATTGTTCACTGTGTTGCTGGTGTCACTTCTCTGATGACAGTCTTTAATGCTGAAATTTGGGGGAGGAGGCACTAAAATGGAGCCAGAAAATGCAGACGATGAAATATAGGGGAGTTCCTTTATTGTCTTTTCTTACAGAAAAAGATAAGTTCATAGCCTCTGATCTATTTAGACTGGGATCGACCCATTAAAGATGTCTGGAAATATATCTCAGTGGGTCAGATCACAGGCCTCCCCCACAAGGTGTAAGTTTTTTTTTTGTTGTTGTTGTTTTGTTTTTTTGTTTTTTTTTTGAGACAGAGTTTCACTTTTGTTGCCCAGTCTGGAGTGCAGTGGTGTGATCTTGGCTTACTGCCACCTCCGTCTCCTGGGTTCAAGCAATTCTCCTGCCTCAGCCTCCCGAGCAGCTGGGATTACAGGCATGTGCCACCATGCCCAGCTAATTTTTTTGTATTTTTTTTAGTAGAGACGGGGTTTCTCCACGTTGATCAGGCTGTTCTAGAATTCCTGATCTCAGGTGATCCGCCCATCTCAGCCTCCCAAAGTGCTGGGATTACAGGCGTGAGCCACCGCACCCAGCCTGTGTGTAAGAAGTTACACTGAAGATCGGAGCTGGTCATACTCCAGGCACACTGGGAGGAAAAAGATATTGATTTAGGCTGCTGGTGTCATCTGCCTCTGACAGGTCATAGATCTTTACAAATTCATCTATTTCATAGGGAGAGGAGGCCCAAGGAAGATTTGAAGCCCCCAGACATATCTGTTCAATATCATGTGACTGAGGATGCCAGCATGAATCCCTCACAGAGGCGCCAGCTTCTCCAGGATTCCTGACACCAGAAGGCTCATGTAGATCATGGTCATTTACATCAGAGATTCTAGGACTTATTGGACGAATGTCTGCAGTAGTTACGGCTGAGGGAGTCTCCTCCTTCACTGAAATAGTCTGGCTTGATGCTCCCAGCGATAGCTGTGGCTGCATTTGCTGCTGCTGCTGCTTCTTCCATTTGGCCCGCCGGTTCTTGAACCATGTCTAGGAAGGGGGAGAGGGGAAGTTAATAATGGGGGTTGAGTATAAAGGGGCATCCTCATGTTTCTTAGGAATTTGTTTTTTTGGTGTGAGAGAGAGTTAGTCTTACATTTATTGGAAGAAGGGAAGCTCTTTCTATCCTCTGCTGTCCTGGGTTTCAAGGGAAAAGTGGGTGTAGGATTGTACTAGCAATGGAATATGACCTAGGTCATGACGTATTAAGCAAAAGGGGATTTGTATTAGTGGTGTATTTTTTTTTTTTTTTTTTTTGAGGCAGGGTACTGCTCTGTCACCCAGCCTGGAGTGCAGTGGTGCAATCATAGCTTACTGCAGCCTCGAAGTCCCAAGCTTAAGCAATCCTCCTATCTCAGTCTCCCAAGTAGCTGGGACTAAAGGCATGCACCTCCATGCCTGGTTAATTTGTAATTTTTTTGTAGAGGCATAGTCTTGCTATGTTGCCCAGCCTGGTCTTGAACCAAGCTCAATCGATCCTCCTGCCTCTGCCTCTCGAAGTGCTAGGATTACAAGTGTGAGCCACTATGCCTGGTGCCCAGAGAAAGTATTTTAAAGTCAGAGTATGGGGTGAGAGTTTAGTTTGGGATGTCTTCAGAGTTCATCCAGATGTTCTCCCCTGAATACTCTGTGGGAACTTAGTGACAGGCATCTGGATGAATGTGAATTAAGCAGAACCTGTCCTGAATACACAAGAATAGACCCGAATGGGAGTATCTGAGATTCAGTCTCAGACAGTCCTGTGTAGCATGGTGGGGTTAGAAAGGCTTGGGTTCAAATTCCAGCTCTTGTGTTTATAATGCTTGGAAGACAGCTTTT